GATAACTCAGATCTACAAATTTTCTTGTAAGACCAAATTTTTGTGGCTTTGTGATTTCTAAGCTGTCATAAAGTGAGCTGGTTATCATGTCAAGCTGCCATGCAATTGTGTTCAGTTACATAATTTGCGTAATTTCACCATTATGTCAGGGGTTTGTATTTTAATTGATTAAGTAGAATTCATTTTCTCTTTTTTACTTTCTTCTGTGTTATTACCAACTTTTTGCTATGAAGGCTGTACATTTTTTAAATTGGCTTTCATTCTCTTATTTTTGAGTGAATAGCCATTTCTATTTTCATTTTCATTTCATTTTCTATAAGAAAAATACACTCACACATTGCATATTTCGTTTGGTGAAGTGTTGCAGTTTTGCCATTGTTTTTTGGGAATTTGTGAATCTTCGGATAGCAAATTTGATAATTCCTGGAATTTTGTGTTTCTCTTAGAAAAATGCTGTTTTACCATTTCTTTGTAGTTTGCGATGATGATTTCTGTTCAGTTGGATTTTAGACCACCAGCATCAATCATTTTTCTCATCACTGAGAGCAAGAGAGAGTTAAGATAATGTATCTTCTTCTTGTTCTTTAATCTTTTCTTTTATTTTTGTAGTGTTCTTATTGTCATTGTCATGATCAGGCTCCTAATAAATATTATCATGACATAGATATTCAACCAACATCTGATGATGATAATTTTTATGGTTATTCAATCTCTTCGTAATGGATATACTTCAAGATCATCACATAGTGCATTTTTTTCTATCTGTTAAATAGACTCTTACTATTATTAATAAATATTATGTTTACTTAGTGTGAAATAGTCCTATAGCAATATAGTACTGATATTCTATAGCAACTTTGGCAGTTATCCAATAGTGCACAATAAATACAAGTATTTTAATAAGTTATTATTCAATCAATTAATATATAAATTTCATTAACAATAAATAAAAATAGTTTATTGACTAGCTAAATTTTTATATTGATCAATTAATATTTTTTTTAAGACTTCAATTGCGCTTTATTTATATTAAATATTTTCTATTAACTAATATTTTATTTATCAAAAATTATAAAATTAACAAATATTGAATAATTCAAATAATTCATATATAAAACATATATAAATAATATAGAAATTATAAAGAATATAGAAATTATAAAAAATATAAAAATTATAAAGAATATAAAAATTATAAAGAATATAGAAATTATAACAATTTAATAGAAATTATGAAATTACAGGATTTATGGAAATTATAAGAATTTTTAATCGTAACATCAGCATCAACTATTTTTTTCTCATAAATTTGAAAAAATAAAATCTAACATGTTACGTTATCAGGATAGGCTATCTTTTGCAATACAAAAAAAGACTATAAATTTGAAAATGGAAAAAAAATAATTGAATAAAAAGGATATTATGATTAATAATTTTAAATTAAGCAAAAAATTATACATATATTAGAGATTAAACTTATCTTATTATCATGACACAAAAAGATAAAAAGAATTAAACTTGTGAATGTTGTGATAAAATTCTTGCTACTTCACAAAAACTTCACCAGTATTATTCGAGTACAAAAAATTAATACAGTTCACCTTTTGAGAATAATAATCAAAAAAGAGTATATACTCCTAAGATAACCAAACCTCAATCACAAATCCCAATATCCAATCCTGTTCGATCAAAATCTCCTAATATAATTAGATCTCAATTATTAATTCCAGCTCCTGTAATTTATATTTAAGAAAAGGATTAAAGAAACAGGTAAATGTCACATCATCTAAAACTTCTAGTCAAAAGAAGAAAGAGGATTCCAAAGCAGGTCCTGGATCAACAATCCAATCACATAGGAAAGATATAACCTTGCAAGATAAAGTTCAAGAAAGTGCTACTAAATGAGATATAATTGTCAAACAAATAGATAATTATAAACTTTTCAAGGAGTTAGGTATGATAGAAGAAACAGAAACAGAAAGTATGACTAGAATATTGAGGGATTAATTAAAATTGATAAATTAGAAGATCATGCATCAAAAGGTAATATATACTTTAAGGAAGAATGAGTTGGAGATTCAGAAAGATCTCACTCACTCATACAATTTATCATTAAGCAAATGGAAGATTATAGTTCCTAAAATGTCAAATTCAATATATGCATTTAATAATATAATAGATCAAGTGAAATATAGAGAAGTTCCATATATGTCTCAACTAATAGCATCAACTCAAAGAGAAATTACAAGAATTCTCCAAACAGAGCTTAATAAAAAAGAGTCAATAAAATTAGCATTAGTCATTTACTGTAAATATGTTAAAAAATATGAAAAAACTAATAATAATAAAATAACATATTCTTTTGTAGAGAAATATTATAGAGAATAAATGCGTATAATCCTTTTAAAAAATGAAGTAGATAGCATATAACATGTTAAAAGCAGAGATAGATAAGAAAATTGATGAATTTCTAAATAATGAATCAAACTGATAATTAATCTGATTGATAAAATATTTATTGATGTGTATATATATCATTGGATTACTGGAGACTCATTTATTCCTACTTCAAAAAAGCTTACAAATACAAAATGCACTATCAATTCAGATAATTCAGATATTATAGATCTGACTACAGGTAAGCTCACAAACAAGTATCTTAAAGGTGCAACAGGTTGCTATTTTGCAGATCAGAATGAAATTACTGATCATTTAGGAAAGTGAATATATAGAGCAAAAAGTCTTTAAAAATACTTAGATATTGTCAAGCTAGATGAAATTCCAATATTTACATCAATATGTTCACATATATTTAATAAAATTGAAATGAATTCTGAAATTTCCATCAATGTCTGGGAGTAAAAAGAAGAAATAGCTACACCCAAACCTGTAGTTGCTAGTAAAATTTTTATATTCCAAATTCATGTAAAATAGAAAATTGTAAGCATAATAATCTGAATGATTGCCAAGAAAAAAGATCACATGTAATTTATCTTATGGCTCTTACAGATATTAACAAGTCTAAAAAAATAAGTAAGTATGAACAAAAAAATCATTTTCTCTGAATCAAGAAACCAAATGGATTAATTTACAAAAATATTATGCATCATGATAAAAAGCATCTTTGTAACCAATGCTTTCAAAGCTTTCCTTCAGAAAAATTTCTGGTTCATCACCAGGAATGATATTTCAGATTGAATGAAGCTCCTCAGAGAATTACTTTGCCAGTGAAAGGAGTTAATGATTTTGAGAAGTTCAAGAACTATGGGTGAATGATCAATGCTCTATATGTTATTATAACTAATTTTGAAACTAATAATAAGAAGTTTAATGAAATATATAGTGAAGGTATATGCAAACTTGCCAAACAGAAGACCAACAACTTCTGTTATCTAGTCTATTGAATTGATATTGGAGATGTATGGGATCCTTTCCTATATCAGAGAGAAAATAGCACACAAGAATTTGTTTGAAGAATCAATCAGGAGTTGGTCAAAATCAATGAGGTATTAGCTATTAAGGCTGATTGAATTGAAACTGAGGAAGACAAGAAAAAATTTGCTGAAGCAGATAGCTGTTGGATTTGCAAAGGGAAATTTACCATGAATAGAAATGAAGTCAAATGCTTAGAAAATAAGGTAACATGACTCAATAATAAGCTAAAAAATACAGCAAATAATTCGGAAGACTATAAGATCTTAATAATACAAATTCTCAAAGTAGCTAAGACAATCGATTAAGCTGAGACTATAGATAATAAAGTTTGGAATCACTGTCATATTACAGGTAAGTTTTGAGAACTCGCATATAATTCCTGTAATTTCAAACTCCAGATCGAAACATGAAAAACACCTATTCCAGTTGTTTTTTATAACTTTTGTGAATACGACTCTGTGAATCTGTTGGGAAATCTGTTAATGCGCATTAAATCAAAGTTATAGCTAAAATATTTAAGTGATATAAGTCAATGAAAATAGGTCAGCTTAAATATATAGATAACATGCAGTTTATGAATAATAGCTTGGCTAATCTCACGAAGAATTTGGAAGGTAATCATCCAATTACAAGCTGGTATTTTAAAAAATTAGGCTATAAAGATGAACAAATAGCTTTAGTATTTCATAAGGAAATTTATCCATATAACTATATAGATTCACATGATAGATTCATAAAGACAGAACTTTTACTATTTCATGAATTTCATATACAGCTTAAAGATAAAATCACTCAAAAAGATTACTTTTATGTTCAAAAAGTCTGGAAAGAATTTGTATCTAAAAAACTAGGTGAGTATCATGATATCTATCTTAAAACTTATGTGCTTAGTCTCGTAGATGTTTGGATACAGTTACAAAAAGAGTCTATGGAATATAATGAACTCAATTCTAGTTACTATGTCTCTTTTTCAGTATTTTCCTGGAACTTATAATTTAAGATGACTGGGGTTAAGATTGAGCTATTTACAGATATGGCAATATATAACTTTGTCGAAAAAGCCAAGCGTGAGAATATAGCTATAATGTGTAAAAGATATTTCAAAGTCAATAATTCTAAGATGAGTAAGGAATTCAATCCATCCAAATCCAAATCCTGGATCTTATATATTGATGTGACTAATCTTTATGGCTGGATCATGAGCCAGTTCTTACCTATTGGAAGCTATCAATGGGAAGTTAGCCATGAATATTTACTAAAAAATCCAGCTATATACAAGAAATATCTTGAAAAGATTCTTAAAACTAAAGCTAATACCAAGTGTGAGTATTTTCTAAATATAAAGATCCATTTCTCTCTAAAGATCCATGACTATTTGAGAGATTTGCCTCCAGCTGTAGAGAATGTTACAATAGAAAAGAATTAGCTAAGTTCATATAATGTGAATCTTGTAGAGAATTTGAATGGTGAATGCTTTATAGCTACAGAAAAATTAGTCACTCACTTAGAATCATGAAAGGATTGTCATCCATTACCAGGAGCTTCAATACTATATGAAGTTAGACATGGTTGTGGATGAGATTTCAGAGATTCTTTCATTCGACCAGACTAATTGGCTTGCTCCATACATAACTTTTAATACTGAGAAATGTCAGAAAGCTAAAAAGACTGGGAACATATTTTTGAGTGACTTCTTTAAGCTCAAAAATAATACAGTATACAGCAAAACTATAGAGGATGTTCAAAAGTACCAGAATGTTAAGCTTAGGAAGATGAATAATGAGCGAGATGAAAAGGCTTTCTTGAAAAAGGTTCGCCAGCCATCATTCAAGTATAACAGACAGTTTGGAGATACTCTTGTAAGAGCACATATGAAAAAGGCTAGTGTGACACTTAACAAGTCCATCATAGTCAGAGCATCTGTTCTAGGACTTAGCAAGCTTCACATATACAAATTCTGATATGGTTATGTAAAGAAAAAATATGGAGACAAAGTCCGTTTCAGCTATATGGATACAAATTCCTTTATATATCATGTTGAGACTGAAGATATCTATAAAGATATGGCTGAAAGACCTGATCTCTTTAATCTCAATGGGGATCCAACAGTTGGTAAATTTAAGGATGAAACACCTGGCAATGTAATCAGAGAATCCATGCACATCCGAGCCAAATCATGACACTATGTCTTGGCAGATAAGTCCACGATATTTAAACATAAGGAATCAGCAAGAAGGGCATGAATGAAATGGCTACGGATACATATATGCCAACTTTAGAAGGATCTTTGCTTGATGATCCGATAGATAAGTCATTACTAACAGATCAAGAAGCTAAGGATTTAGCAATGCGTACTGAAGCAGATTCTATGACCTTAGTATATCGGGATTGTCTATTTGGAAGGAAGTATTCCATGCTAAAAATGTGGGTATTCGATCTAAAGACCATGTACTATCTCTAGTCGAGTCCGAGAAAAAAGCCTTATGCCCCATAGATACTAAGCGCTGGATATTATCAGATGGGATAACTACTTTACCATATGGTCATTGGCGCAATATGATTTATAAGAATATGGTCAAAGATGGTATATCCCATGAATAGGCCGAAAAGAGCCATGTTAGCCAGGCTCCCAGAAAAGTATCAAAACGAATGTACGTCTCACATAGCTAGCTTACCCCAATAAGCTGAACTAGTGAACGGAACATATGCAAGACATACGAAACACCCTCAGCCAGTACTTACATAATTATTAGATTTTTTTCTGACGCAATAAATATTCAATTATTTTTTTTCCGGATATGGGGGAAAATTTAGCAATTGAAATAAAAAACATTAGTTAAGTAAATCAATACGTTTGATATACAATGCATTCATACAACCCGCTCGAAAAAGCAGATACAATTGCTGAAATCGTCAAAAAGCTCCCATTAGAGGCTCTTGATAAATTCTGCTGGATAAATAGCACTTGGCATAAAGAAATCCAGCATGAGTTTCGGAGAAGATGGAAGATACAAGCGCTAGCATATTATAAATTGGAACAAGAAAAGGAGTTGGAAAAGGAAGAGGTAGAGAGAAAATATCCTCATGATGATTTCATGCAAGGATATTTACATCAAGACAGAGAATTCTTATACTGAAAGGGAAATTGAGACAGCTAAAAAAACAGGTGGAGATCGAAAAGCTATATGCTTCGCAATGGAATGTGCTATGGGCAAGAAAAAGAAATAGTTAAATATAATGTACAGCAGATAGCTGAAAATGTGGTCCCTTGGTGGGATGCAAGGGATGCCTGGGGATTTTATTTAAAGAGCAACATTTTTATCTAGCCCACCACCATAAGCTAGACTAGTGAACGGCGCATATATGTAAGCAGGAAGGAGACGCCAACATAAATATTATAGATTCTGTTCTGGCGCAATACATATTCAGTTATTTTTTTCTGGATATAGAAAATGCCTTGGAAAAATCAAATATATATACTATTGAGAATATCAAGGAGTCCATTATAAAGTTGGAACGTGATATAACTAAAATACATCAAAATCTTAAAAATATTTCACGAGAAATCTATTATTTATATGATGGTATGAAATTCTCCGAATCATCCGAAGAATTCGAAGAATCTGATGATTGTGCAGATATATATGAAAAAATCAATCATCAAGACGTGTTAAGATTGTAAAAGTGAAAGATAATTGAATCGGATAAATTAGCTAGTACGTAATGGCTAAAAAATCTAGAAATAATCGACGCATTTTGATTGGTCCTTACACGCGTGCGATTATTATAAAGCAGTCCATGAATGGATAATAATGTTGACTTATCGTTATTAAGTTGAACCTTTTCCAAAATGGACTGGGTTCCCCCAGAGCTTCTCAAGGACACGGTTGACAAATATTTCTTTAAAAGTATGTGGTACGACTGGCGTCTTGTTGAATTTCTCGAGTTTAAACAAGACGAAATCCTGGCTGGACTTTCAAAGATGTCCGTACATCATTCATATAAGAAAGATTTACAACTGATTTTGGGGTCAGAAACACCAGAAGACGTCTCCTTCGCCATTATGAAACAACTAACTAAAAAGATATTGGAAAGTGATGAAGTCAAAATGTTCTGGAAAGCAATAACTGCTAAAAAGAAATATATGGAACAGTTAACTATTACCAGAGCAAGTGCTTCATTTGAAAGCGTAAGTTTATGTGCTTTGCATGTGTTTTTTTTATTATAAAGTAACATTTCTTTTTAGAACGTTCTCAAAACTTGTGGGAAAAGATTCAATGAAGAAATCGATGCTGTGGCTCAACAAGATATAAAGAGAGTGGAACTTGGAAATGATAATGAATATGTTAGCACACCCACAAGAATAGATAATAAAAGTGAAGTCCAAATCGAAGAAATAATAAATGAAGAATACCAAAAAGTGAGGATCGACAAGGAAGAGATGGAACAAATGGCGTTTTGGACAGACAATAAGCAATCTAATCAAACAAAAATAGAATCATTCTCGACTTCTCATAAACCGATCCTTACACCACATAAGTTTAATATGATATCATCAAAAGTTATTCCTGGATTTAAATCCCTTAAAAGTATTCTTAATATAAGATACCCTGAGATAGCAAATGAGATTGAAACTTACGAGCAAGAACAGAAAAGACTAATTAGCTTGGGAACAACTCTTACGAAGTGGTTACGAAAAACTTTATCATCATCCACTCTAGAGGAGCTACATGAATGTCTTATACAACCATTGCAAGGTGAATGCATTACAGATCGAGAAAAGAAACTGCATGAAATATTTGAAATAACATTAAAGGAATTTTACATAATGATCAAATATAATCCAAAACATACTATCGTGAGACACAATTCGGAGAGAAAATTTCTTGTTGAAAGGGTGTCAACACCATTTAAACTTGTCGAATATGTGTTTGGAACCATTACAACATATTGGATTGAAAAGCAAATTATGTCAACCAAGGCGACAGAGTTTATAGACGATCCAACTGGTGAACTAACATCTAAGAAGGTTGATGGGCTAGCTACAGATATTACATATAATATAGATGTGATGAATATGGAGTTATCAGGAGGTCCCTTTCAACAGGATCGAAAACATACTCTCGAGGATTCAGAGAAAATATCCAATACTGGCGTAAATATTCTTCTTATGAGTCTTCGAAAGTACCTTGGTGCTAGTATTGAGACCGCAAAGAAACTAAAAACATATAATATACAAATCGTTGGTATGCAAATTGTTTGCTTGTAATATATATATTGATATTGATATGCTAACAATTTTTGTTGCTCTTGTAGAAGACCGAATCACACTAATAGAAGTATCACTTTACAAACCACAAATCTGCAAAGAAGTTGAAGTTAGAAGCGCTGTCTTTCCATTTGCATTGTCTTCCATAGGAGAGTATATGCGTGTTTTTGAGCTTATATCATACTATGTGGTATGTTATTTGGTTTTATAATATTCCAATCCTATCAAAATAAGTTATTAATTTTTGTGCACATCTAGAATGGACTGCTCAAGCGCCAAAAGATCTTGCAAGAGTTATCTAACGAAAATAATGGGGTAAAAGAGATAACCTCAGAAATATTTTTGGATTGGTGGAATAAGACACAATAATTTACTATATATCAACATTCGAAATGGTTGCTATTAGTAGCTTATTTGTTTAGTATTTTTAGAAAATCCATTATATACTTTGAATAATATTTACTTGAATAATCTAGCTCAGATTGCATGTTGACATTAAGCGTTTTGTATATGATACAAATTCATTTAGCAATATATACATATAAGAAAAAAATAAAATAAAATTCAATATTAATAAGAAGAAAGATTTATCTGGTATTTGCTTTCTGAATTCAAATAAGTAATTTTCTTGCACATATTAGATTTTTTTTTATTGAAAGAAACAAGTAAGAATTTTCTGGTTCATGATATAACCAGTATAATATCAAAGTTATATTTTATTTTATGATTTGGTTTATAGTTAATATTTGATCATTTAAAGCTCTTGGTTTTATGTTATACATCAAACTTCGAATAAATAAATATAATTATTTGTCTCACATTTTCCATTATGACAAATATCAACTGGTGAAAAAACTTTAATTTTATATACAACTATAAAACTAATAAAATATAATATACAAATTCTACAAACTTAATATGTATTATTATTTATTAAATTATCAAAAAAAATTTAATATTGCTATATTCAATTTTGATTCATAATATAAAATAATTTTTATGATATTAAGTCTGATATCTCAAAATTGATTAATTTTTTTATAATAAATAATAATCAAAATATTGTTATTTTATTGATTAATTCATATTATAATTTAATCAATAAGATTTTATTATATTTTATTAGTTAAAAATTAGTTTTAATTTAATTGAATAATTAATTAGTACTTTATTATTAATTTTTTATTTATATTAATGATATTAATATTCGTGTTAATGCTGATAATACTTGTAATTAAATAATTTATAAGATTAATATTGTTAATAAAATTGATTTATAAAATTAATAATGTTAATAAAATTGATTTATAAATTAATAATATGAGTATCACAAGTAATTATTATAAATATAACATATATTTTAAATAAAATTAAATAAATTTCTGAGCTTTAGCTTTTTTTACTTTGATAAAAGACTTTAAGTCTTTCACTTAGAGATTTTTATTTGAGAATTCTTTTTTAATTTCAATTTTTATTTTTAATTTTTGTTTTAATAACCAATCTCTGTATTAATATATGTTAATTATGTTAATAATTATATTATAATCTCTGAATTGGTATATGATCAATTATATTATAATATTATTATAATCTTTGATTTAATAAAGTAATCAAATATATTATTGATAAATTAAAAAATTTTGATTTTTTAGAATAAGTAGAATTTGTTTACTATTATTTTTGGAGCTTTTGTAATTCAAGTTAATTTATCATTTTGAACAATATATTTTGTTTATTAATAGATAATATTAGTAAAATTTATATTATATTTAGTTTGTTAATAATATTAATAAATTCAATTATTATTTTTTTGAAATTAATTTTTGTTATATTATATTGAATAATTTTTAAAAAATATTTTAAGAAATTTATATGTTATTTTATTTAACAAAGAGAAAAAAATAATTGTTTTTTTATTAATAATTAATATCAATTATATTTTTATATTTATTTAAGAGTTTATATTAACAATAAAAATATAAATAAAAAATAAAAAGAAATTTTTAAAAGTAATTTTTTTGGTTCTTATTCCAAATATAATAATGCAAAATTTAACCAATTTCAAAAAATAAATTATTATTTGTTTATTATTTATTTACTTATTTATATTTATGATAAATAATAAGAAAATTATTATTTAAATAATTATTTATTCATTTTTATATAAGAATATTTATTTTATTTAATTATTTCATAATTTATTTTATTTTTATTAAATTTTATTATTACTCTTCTATTATTATTACTTTTCTTAACAAATATGAAACTTTAAAAAAATAAAAATAACTGATTCTTTAACTTAATTTATTAAGGTATTAGTTTGATATTACTTGAATTTTGTAAAAATATTCTCTATTATATATATAGTTTAAATCTTCTTATTTTAATTTTATCTTTATAAAAAAAATCAGAATACTATATGTATTAATAACTTATTAAATATTTTACATATTGTTATAACTTTATTAAAGGATATAATTGCAAAAAAAAGTCTGGTTCAGTTTGAGTCTAATTAAAAATCCAGTTTAAAAATTTGAATCTAATTAAAAATCTGGTTCAAGTACAGTTCAAACTTTGAATTAGACTCAAATCTAATCAAAAGTTCAATTCAAGTTCAAGTAAATATTTGTTAATATTCTAAGTAAAGTTATAAATTTTAATATGAATTACAAATTAATATAAGATAATTAATATTTAAGATAAATATTTAAAAAGTTATATGAATTTAAAAAATAATTTTAATTATTATAATTTTAATTTGCTTTAGTTTTAGTATAATAATATTTATTTTGCTATAGTAATTCTAAATTATAATTATAAGTTATAGTTAGAAATAAGAGTTACAAATTAGTATAAGATAATTATTATTAATAATAATTATTCAGAGAGTTACATAGCATTTACAATCAAATTTAATAAACGTAAAAATAAAAATACT